AAGGCACACTAGCCTTTAGCTGGAGCAAAGCATTTGACAGGCCCAGTAATCAGCATGCCTTAGAGCAGTAGTTCGCAAAGTGTGGTGCCTGGACCAGCAACGTCAGAATCACCTAGAACTTGTTAGAAATGCAAATTCTTGGGCCCCACCTCAGACCTACTGAATCAGGAACTCCCGGGGAGGGGACAGCAACCTGCATTTAACCAGACCCTCCAGGTGATTCTGATGCACACTCAAGTTTGAGAACCACTATCTTAGACTAAGCAAACATCACATGGACTAAAAACAAATGTTTGAATGAAATCATGAGAGAAAGTCAGGTAATTCAGATTTAACCAAAGTGGGAGTGTTGATGCAAGTTGCCCCTAAGAATTAGGAGAAAGTGTCATTTGTTGTAAATCCCTATTCTATTGACATCAGAATGTCAGTGTTTTCTGTTGTTGAGTGATCTGCATTTTCTGGGTTGTATTACCTGCCCCAAACCATGAACTAGGATAAATACTGTCATCCCCACACCCTCCTCCCTACACCGATATTTCCCTGACTCTCCTAATGCACACTCCTCACCAAAACCAGCCCAGCGGTGGGTTCCCTCCACAAATTCTGACAAATCTTGCTTCATAAGTGATTGTGTTTCTGGTTAGGGTTTTGTTTTTTTCTGAAAATCAGTTAACTATTTACTTTGAGTCTTGCAACATTGAAAACATTTACACCTCTCCTATCTACCCCTGTCAGGGTAAGAAGTCCAGTTTGTAAGGGTTTGTTTTTATGGCTCTAATTTACATGAATATGGATCAAAACAACAACATGAAGCAAGAGAGAAGACAGGAAAGAAAGTGAAAGGAGAAACCTTCTCTGTCCTTTCAGGGGATATGAACAGTGCAGGGCAGGGATTAGGGTGAGGTTAGCCAGGTACAAAATTTAAGGCAGGGACACCAAAAAGCTCAGTAATCAAGATAAATATTGTAATGCAATATTTTAAAAAATCAAAATCAACGCAAAAAAAAAATCCATGATAAACAAAATATCAACATTTTAAATAGAGATAGACTTAAATTCCCTCTTTAACCTGGTAGTCTTATTAACTCCAGATGACAGCACAATCCACCCGACCCTCCAAGATGGAGGAAAGACACTGGAGCCATATTGTGAGTACTGTTGCATGGAAACATTGCTGACTTGGTTTTCAGCAAGATGAGCATTCATTGTTTTCTACTTTTCGAGTGTAGAAAAGCTATATCAAGCACTCTAAGGAACACTGGAATTAGAAAAAAGATGCTATATTCCTAGTTGATTAAAGTCTCTATTAGTTTATTTCTTATTCACAAGGTGTCATCTTGTGCTCACATAACTGTGAGTGTTCTTCTCTCTATTATCTACCTGTTCTTGCTCCGTGGGGATGGCTGGTCAGTCCTACTGGACCCCTCATCTGATGTGGGACTTGTCTGGTACAGTGTGATGATGATTCCACTGTTTCTCTCACTCATCCCCCTTAAGCTCATTTTGTCTGCTTGGTTTTCCCTTGTCACTCAGAGGTCTCATGCTCAGAACTGTATGATGGAAAGAGCCGTAGAGGAGGCATCAGTATATTCTTATCCAGCTCAGCCACCAGACAGACATGTGATCCTGGGCCAGTCACGTCTCCTCTCTGGGCTTTACTTTCCTCATTTGTGATGTGAAGGAATCCAACTAGATCATTCCATGTTCCTCTCTGCTTCTCAGCCTCTGTGTTTCCAGTTCTACCTCAGAAATCTCACATCTGCAGGCTTCTAATTTTTAATTCCTCTTCTCACTCCCCATGCCGAGGGCCTTTCCAATTGCTTTAGGAAAAAGTTTCTCCTTTTCTTTTTCATGATGCGTGGTTGATGGTATGAGAGAAATGTCCGAGATTCACATGTATGAAAGCTGTGGTTTCTAAAGAAAACATGACAGTAAAAATCCGGTACTGTTGACCCTTCCACTCGCCTGGAGTGCCCTTCGTGAGTGGCCACAGAAATCTCTATCTGCCTCAACATCTTCTTTTCATCAAACTGATATAACATTCAATTACTCCACCAGTATTTATTAAATACCTCTTAAGTAGCAGGCACTTTTCTAAGTCCTAATAGACAAAGTTCCTGCCCTCATGGTGTAACTGTATAACGCATATATATTTACTTTACACACTCAGGCAAGAAAAATACATTACTTTATGATCCTTAAATTAATTATGACATGAAGCTCCCATTCCACAAGGCTGGCAGAAAATTCTGTCTTGGGCATTTTTAGAGACCTCTCCTCAGAACTCCCTAGGGTCATACAAACATCCGAAGACTTTCTGGGTTCCTGGAAAATGGGTGAAAGGACCTCACTAGTGTTCAGTCCGTGGTGATCGTCACTGATGTCCTTCTTCCCAAACCCTCGCGGTCCTTTGAGGGCAGGTGGCTCCACAGCTTCTGTGCCAAGTTGGCCTGGGGCTCTTTGCTCAAGGTCGGAGTCCCCGTGCTCAAGGTCGGAGTCCCCGTGCTCAAGGTCTTCCTCACAGGGAGTTTCCAAAAATGTGTTTCCTTCCCTTCAGTTTGCATAGTTATCATTGAAGCCTTCTTCTTTGACATGATCAGGACAAGGGACAAGTGCTTGCTTCATTAATCTAGAAAGAGAGTTAAAAGACGTAATTAAATGCATACATATCTTGACCATTGTATTTTTAGCACAAAACATATAAATTTATGTTCATTTGCCAATCTTTTAATGTTGGTCCAAGATTTTTTCTTTGAATATGAGCAAACTGTTTGGCATTGTCATTAACTTTCTTTAAAAGATTCCCACTCATAATTCATCCTCTGTAATGTTCACCTTTAATGTCTTTATAGTACAGTGGGAACTTAAAGACACTCGTGAAACCATCTGAAGAAAGAATATTTTACAATCCCCAATATTTTACAGTATCCCACTCACAAGTAATTTGACAGGATTAGCTCATCGCCATTACCTAATTCTTTCCGAAACATTCAACCTCATTTTCACAGAGAGAACTCTTCCTGTTAATACTCACATGTCAGTGGTTTCCATATTATTTAATAATTGGCTAGTCTCAATAACAGGTACAACGGGCATTAACATATTTAGGAACGAACTTAACTGACTCCTGATAAGCGTATAACTCAACTGCCGGAGGCAGAAGTAGATGAGCGTATTAGAGTGATCTGTTGGTCACAGGCATCCACTGTGCTGTGGACGTCAATCAGGATGTTTTACAGCAGAAACGGGGCGCACAAGTCCATCTGTAGAGTTAAGCGGAGATCCGTCAGGAGAACTGCAATATTTGCGGTATCGGTTACAACTCTGCTTCCCCATCCTCTTGCCAATAGGTATCACCACTTAAAGATATGGAATAGAAAATCCTTCATGTTGAAAATCACAATGATGTAAAACAAAATATGTTTTAATTTTTCAGTTCTTGAAGTTTCAAATTCAATTTCTCTGCATTTTCTTAAATTGATAGGTTATTTTAAGTTTATCTTTATTCCTCCTCCAGGACCTCATTAGAGTGATTGATTTTAACTTCACTCTCTTTCTTTGTGCTCCTTTAACTTCTTTTATAGGTGTTAATGAAGAGTTACATAGTGAAAAAAAGGGGAAGGGGAAAGAGAGAAAGAGGCACGAAAGCTAATAATCTAACTTCTATACAAAATGGGTGCTTGGCTCTTAAAGAGACTGATGCCCCTATATGGGCATCACGTGGAACATGGCCTGGCAAAATGTGCCAGTAGGAAATTTTTCTGGGCACCAGTTGGGTTTTAAAAGGAAAAGAAGCCCTTCTGTTTCTTTATTTCGAGTTGATGGATGTGGAACCAGAGGGAGGCACCACTTGCTTCTGCAGTTGTGAAATAGCTCTAGATTTTCGTCTTCCTTCTGGCTTCCAAGATTATATCTGAGCTTCTCCATCTAGTCATCTCTATAGAGAAGATGATTCAGTACACTTAACCATAAGTGTATTTAACTACTGGACTGGCTGCTGGAGCAATCTTTCCAAAGCACAGCCCTGACAGCGTCACTTTTTAGCTCAAAAAACCCCAGCATGTCCCCTTGCCTAATGAATTAAATCCTTACACTCCACCCTGGCATTTAGGTCCCTCCAAACAAGGCTTGCTCACTTATGGCTCAGGACTGCCCTGTGTCTGCCTCCACTCAGGACACACCAAAATCGAGTGACTTTTTCATGTATTGTAAGTAACACCATGTCCATGCCCCATCTAAAACAATCTCCTGAACCATCTAAAACCATCTTGAGTAGTATGTGCTCCACACTTGGGAAAACAATGCCTCGCTTCTATGAAATGACAAGCAGCTAAAGGGCAAGAAATGATTCTTACTCTTCTTCATGTCTTCTGCCTTTCCAAGAACCTATTCCTTAGGCCTCGAAACCACCCCACCTCCTTCTAGGGGACACTGAGGTGCCTCATGAGCCACCACATTATTTGGTGGGAAGAAATGAGCAGTTATTTCTGCGACACTAGCCAGTGGATGGGTCTGTCTTCTCTGAAACATCTAGATTGTAGATTCTTCAGGCCCATGGTCTTAGGATGGAGAATGAGTGTTTTTCCTCAAGTTCGTGTGTCTGCATGTGGCGGGGGGGTGTACATGGCGGGGAGGGAGTGTAGCAGAGGAAGACTGGGGGGTGTTCTGAACTTCTTTAATTCACGAAGCTCTGTTCATGAAATGCTCCACTGCTTCCGTATTTGGGTTGTGCAGTTTCCTATCTCAGACCAATGTTTTGGGGAGCTGGATAAGACTTTGGAGATCATCTTCTCCCCTTGCTCCTCCACCCTGCCCACTCCAAGTTCCTTTTATGGAGAAGGAAACCAAGGTCCGGAGAACTGGTGTCCTGCCCACGATGACTCTGCCTGTAAGCCACAAGTTGGAATTGAATCCAGATGTTTGCAATAGAAATCCATGACAGTGGCTCTCCAGTGACGGACTTGAGTTCACAGACTTTCCTCTTCCTCTTCCTCTTCCAGGCCGTGCTGAGCCCTCTCATAGCCATCGCGCTGAAAATCTCCCAGATCCATGAGAGAACCGGCCGGAGGGGCCCCACCGTCATCACCTGAGTGGAGGAAGGCTCGCCCACCGGGGCCAAAGGAGAGCGCTCGGCGGGAGACACGGCACCCCTACCTTCTTGCTACCTGTTTGAGCCTCTTCTGACTTCGGAAAAAACAAAAGATAGTTTGCTGGTGGGGGGTGGGCGGTAGGTGGGAAAAGAGAAAAAAAAATCTGTTTTGTTTGAGTTTTGGTCAGTTCTTCCAAATGCACCAGGGTCTCCAGTTGTCTGTTAAAGCCTCACTGTCATTTGACATCTATATGTTATCACACAAAGGAGCCTCCCCTTTTGGGAAAGAATAAGTGGCCTAGGAATCTGTTAATCATGGCGTCTGTGCATCATTGGTGCCAGGTGAGGAAAGGTTCTGAAATCATGGAGGAGAGCACATTGCCAGGATTAAGCTGACCCTAAGCCAGAGGTTCCCCTGGGCAGACCTGAGAAGACCCTCCTCAGCATTGAAGAGGATTTAGCTTTTCCTCGTAGGTCAAGTCTCCCATGGAGGAAAGCTGTAGAACTCCTAATAGCCCACCTTATGCCCACCAACCACCTGATGCCCCACTCTCCCACCCTCCTGTCCCCACAGTCCCTGTACCACCTTCTCTCACCTCTTCTGAAGCTTTCTACAAATCACGATGGCACACTTTCAACAAAACATATCAAAGGGTGTTTTTCTCTCTTATTTTGTAAATAATATTATTTTAGCTATTAAGCTGGCTGCATTCCTTCAAATTCAGCCATTCATTATGCAAATGGAAAGCAGTTTCTTGGCAGAACTCTGCAAATAAATGCTTCACAGTTTTGGGGCCCTTCTTTGATTATATCACATAGGTTGATGCACGGGTTGACACTAATTCCTCCTAGAAAGACAAAATCCCACCATGTCTGCTATCTCTCTGACTTTAGCTCTGTCTGCTGTCTTATCTCCCAATAAGGACCTATTTTAATGCACTTGTTTGGACACAGTGCAGATCTTGCTTATAATGGCTATAAAAGGAGAGAATGAAATGCTGTAAAAGTAGGAAATGAAGTGGATGCTGGAAGAAAACCTTACTGGTGGTACAGTTATGTGCCTGATGAGATGGAGGGGAGGAGGACACCCTGCTGGAAAGCAGAGGGTCACAACCAGTTTTCTTTGCCCAGGAAAAGGATGTTGCAGCTCTAGCAGCCTCCGTCTGTGCTCAGCCAGGCACTCGGTGCATGGGACCTCTTTGCATACGTTTTGCTTCCTTGGGAATGGCACTCTCACTTCTCGTGTCATTTGCACAGATGATGTGATGCACTTTGACTGTTAAGCAATGCGTTATTGCTGTAGTCACGATTAGTGCAAGCAGGGAAACATTCCCAGTAAGGTATTTGTTTCCATTTTCTATCTATGCTTCTGTCAGAAACTTGCTAGGACATTTAGTACCCAATAAAAAAGAAATTCCTTATTTCAACCTTATGCAAGGGTTGTGAATTTTTGCTCATTTGTTTCGCCGTTTGAGAAACTCCAGCAGTGGTCCCCCGTTCTGATAACTCTGCCTTTCAGAACACTTGCAAGGGCTGGTTTTCATTATTGTGACCTTGGAAATTTATTAAATAAATAGAACACAAAAGGTGAGTTGCTCAAAACTGCGTTTGGAAGCCTGCAGAAACTAAAATGGTGTCTAGTCTTTCATTGTAAGTACCTTCATTTCAAAATAATAGGAAGGTGGCTTTGAGCTGAGATTCTAAAGAACTAGTTATGAAATTCGTCAGCCCTGGAATACGATTTGCCTTATATCTTTGGTTGTCATCATCTTTAAAGTGAGTCCATGACGGCCATCCATTCACTACTCCACTCTGTGCTGGTCCACACAATGAGATGCACTCTTGGGCTTAGTCAGCTCTAGGTAAGAAAATATTTTTTCTTAAGTTGCTGAACTATTAATGATCTTTAACTTTGAAGTTCAAATGCAAAGTCATTCTCATTTAAAAATCCTGTTTTTTTCAGTATGGAGTCATGTGTGTCCAGCAGCCTGAAAATATATTCATCCATCCATCCATTTGTTCATTCATTCAGCAAACACTGGTTGAACAACTACTCTATGCAAGGTCCTGTTCTTAGTGCAGCAAAAAGATGCATAAAACATTATTCCTGCTCTTATAAGTTTGTAATTTGGGAACAGGAGGCTCTGACAAATATACACAAAGAATCATGTAGGCATGAATGTTACAGTAGAGACATGTGCTGTGGGAATACACAGAGAGATTGACTCAGAGATGGCAGGACACTAGGCACTAGAGGGGTTTCCCAAAGAGTGGAGTTTCTTGGGGCTTGTAACCATTGATACAATCTCACCAGGGGTGAATGTAGCAAGAACAAAGACTAGGAGTTGAGAGGTAGGATGCCTGGATGGCTGGAGAGGAGGCTTCCTTTGCTCTAGTGGGAGGTTGGCTTGGTTGAGTGGGGTTGAAGCAGACACAGGTTGTAAATATCAGGCAGAGCAAACACTTGGGTCTAATACGGAAAGAAGCAGCTGCACGGCCACCTATTTTTACAGAGGTTTTTCTCAGCTAGGTTGCCAAAGGGAAGGTCCTGGAGTAGCTCTAAGACACAGCCTCTCTCTCTGGAACCTGCTCAAATTCACGTTGCCAAGGTGTTACTTCTGCTTTTCATAAAATCCAAACTTCTCTTGCTGAGCTGTATGTGCGTGTCCTCTTGCCTTATTCTTAGGAGAGGTGCAAGACAGGAAGTCGCTCTTCTGCACATAATGTTATTTATGTTCTTAAAGATGAAACTTCAGCCACCAGTCTTGCTTAAGAGTAAATGACTGGAGAGGTCCAAGAATTTTACGGAGACCATCATAGAAGAAACTATGGATGGAACATAGCCACTGTCAGGGACACTCTTTTTTGAGAGCTAATATTGAGGGGTTCATTCACTACACTATGTACCTCCAGAACAGTGGCAAGCAATGGTGTATATAATGCAACGGTTCCCAACCAGGGCGGTATCACGGCCCACCCAGGGGGTCTTTGGAAACGTGTGTCTACATGTGCCGGAGAGGCATTTAGTGGGAGGGGACCAAGGATGCTGAATATCCTGCCAGATGTCAGCCAGTCCCCTAGAACAAAAAGTTATTTTGCCTCATCTGTGATTCTTGAGTTTATTAGCTGACCTTGAAAATGGGTAGGCAGCCATTATTAAAATGAGATCATTTATCAAGTCTTACTGATCCAAGATGTAGCATACATCCACAGTGTTCATAGGACAAATAGTGTTTCATGACCTTGCAGGCTGACGGGGTTGGACATGACATGAAGGCTTTCTGCCCGGGAAGCCTCAGACTGATGACCAGGCCCATGGCGGCACACTGGTCTGGCAGTTGGCTGCACTGAGCCAGTGTTCTCTGCAGATAATTCAGGCAATGACAGGGATAATGGTGCGGTGACTTCTGATTGGCCAGTGGGTCAGCATAAGGCATAGGATTTACTTTGGTGGTAATATCCCTCAGCCATGGCAGGTGTGGGGAATTTGAAAAGCACCTGCAGGATCTGGTAGTGATGTAAGAGATGACTCCATTTTATTGCACGATCATCTACTGGGTACTCTCAAAACGCGTGGACCCTGAAATCCCAGACACCTGCCTTGAGGAGATTTCCGTTCTTGAGTGGAGAAAGGTCTGAGAAATCGTACATCTTTGGAAATGATGTAACTGCCGGTAAGTCTTTGGCCCTTCAACAGTTACAAACACCAAGAGATTATCCAAGACGTGAGAGCTTGGCAGAATGCCTGCTCCACTCCAACCAGCTGGAGTCCTTATCAGTGCAAATGGCTCATGCAGTTGACAGCCCACTTGGTATGTGAATCAGCCCAAGTTGTCATGAAATGTTATAGAATATGGTGAAGATATGCCTTATAAACCCATATCTTTATCATCTTTCCATGTCTTTTAGCACCTAGTACGTACCCTGCAATATAGGTGACCTGGAGGGATACCTCACCATAGACTATGTGTTTAAGTAGAATCTTGAGGAATAAATAAGATTGTCAGTAAAAGCACTTGTGCATTTTTGAGTGGAGGGGTCAAAAACATACACACTACCTCTTAGATATGCAAGAGATGCAGCATAATATACTCTATAACTGACCTTGTCATGCTCATCTTCTGGGGCTGAGGGTGGGTACTTAAACTGGCTACTCAGAGGGATGTCATAAGATTAAAATACTGCAGAGCCATCACCTCTGAGAACTTCCCTTCCCTATCGACATGTGAGCCTACCAGTGACATTGGAGAGGAGGGAATGAGCAAAGACTCTGCAGTGGAGGTTTGCCTGTTTTCCATTTTCTTGTAGTTTAAGTTCCCTCCCTGCCATTTACGGAATCATGGTTCTCAATCCATCACCATTAATTTTATCATAAACTTGAGGAAGAAGGGATACAATGTCTACTTCCCCTGAGTGAATCCTCTAGGTGTGGCCAAGGAACTCTATTAACCACAACAGAACACTTTCGTCTCACTTGCCCAGTGGGTTTTAATTGCTGGGCCTCTCAAATTTAGATTTTGGGTAATACCCATGTTCTTGATGCTTGCTTCAGAGTACATATGTTAAAAAAAAAAGCAATAAGTGCCTCCTAGTAGCACTTCTTTTCAAAAAGCACCTGGCTTATGTTCTGAATCAATAGTTGGTGTTCAATAATGTTTGGGTTTGTAAAAAGATTAGCTCATCTGGATGCTGTGTTAGTTTTTTGTGGAGGGTAAAACTTTGACTTGTGTTCCCCTATTGATTCTTTTTCTGATACAACACAGTGACAAAAATGGAATGTTTAAGTACAAAATTTATTGTGGTAGAGGGCCAGCTCCGTGGCTTAGCGGTTAAGTGCGCGCGCTCTGATGCTGGCGGCCCGGGTTCGGATCCCGGGCGCGCCCCAAGGCACCGCTTCTCCGTCCAGCGCGAGGCTGAGTCCCACGTACAGCAACTAGAAGGATGTGAACCTATGACATACAACTATCTGCTGGGGCTTTGGGGGGAAAAAAGTGAATAAATAAAATCTTTAAAAAAAAAAAAATTTATTGTGGTAGAGAGATTAAAACAATGTTCATATGTAAACCAAAATTAACGTTTGTTTCACATGACTACCAGTAGTTGGAAAAACCATCTATTTCAAATGCAAACTGGATGAAAGCCCAATGATACAGCAGTTCAGGTCAGTGAATGTGCTCAGACCCCAGGGGAAATTTCAGGATAACCGTCTCAGTGGAGGGGTAGAAAGGGATGATGAGAGGAATAATAAATTGCATTGCTAATAAATGATTGCTTCCTGTTGAACAACTATGAGTGACCTTCATAGCCATTATGCCCTCGATGTCAAGGATTCAAATCACAGATGCCCAGATTCAAGCTTCATGGAAAGGGACCAGGATTTCCCTTTATGTGGCTTCCTGCGCACTTGTCAGGACATGCTTCATTAGTGCACTCAGCAATAATGGGGACGAGGAGGCCACAGAGGCCCCATCCCATCTCGACAGCCCTCTCCTCCTTGAAAGATCTTCATCCTTCCCTCCAACTATCCAAAGCCCTGCCTGTGCCCATTCACCAGGTGCTGTCTGCTTACCATTAGGAACCATCTTTCCTCATCAGTATAATGATCAGAAAAAAGGAAACTATTCCATGACAGGAGGGCCACGCTCCTAGGCAGAAAATGTGGGGGGCTTATTTATATTTTAAAAGGGAAGCCAGCTGGTTAACCCTAAAGCAGCCTCTGCTGCCTCTCCAAGGGCTTTAAGGTACTGCAGCCACCCTGGGGCTCTACCTCCTGTTAAGGCCCACTTTCTGAAGGGGGAGAGAAGTCCAAACTGCCCCCTGGGTGGAGGGAAATAAGACAAGGTTAACCTAGCACAAAAGTTTGAAGTAAATACATCCTCCCACGTCCCTCTATGGACCCTTCTTCACCTCCTGGAAACAGCTGTGTTTTATTGGAAAAGTTTCTTAACTTCTCAAAGTCTCAGTTTATGCATCTGTAAAATGGGAATAACAATAGCACCTATCTCTGAAGGATATAATGAGAGCTAAATAAAATGTACAAAAAGTTTGTAGCACAGAGCTTTCCATATAAAAGTCACTTCTTAACTGTTAGGTATTAATCGAAGCATAAATTCCTCACTGATAGAGGATGAAACTGAGGCCAGAGAGATGCAGGTTGTTTTCCAAGCTGAAAAGCATCAGGCTGCGTCTCTTTCCACCGCCCTGCCGCCTGACTTGTCCTCTGTATTAAAACATATGATAAAATATAGTAACGCTGAAGAGGAATCACTGGGTTTTAAAATAAATGTCCCAAGTCTAAAAATACATGGATCTGTATCTTGAAACACAAAGAATTTCCTGTTAGTGATCAAAGTACTATATTATAGTCTCCTTTCTTTCAAATTCTACAGATTTATAGGGAGATTCATTGTACTATATATGTATATTTTAAAACTTTTCAAGATTTATGTCAAATTCTATATTAATACAACCTACGGCTAGGACAAATTCTTTCTTTCCTGAATGCAGTGTATCATGAATTTTTAAGTATTCTGTCTATTTAGCTTGAGTCTCTAAAAAATCTTGTCATGTCTGCTTGTACAATGATCCTGTTACAAAAGTACTTATTTAAAATTTTGTGTTTGAACCATTTTGAAAGCAAATATTACAGTCACTTCTCTTTCATACAGAAATAAAATACGTATAATTAAAATAAGATAATACAAACTAATATGTAGGGGTTCCAAGGGCCAATCTCCCACAATGTAAATTACTGTGTCACTCTGGTTGTACAGTAATCGGAGATAACTATGAAACCAGCCAACAACACACTAAGCAACCCTCAAATTAAATGACAGTGACCCTTCATTTCCAGCGTACTTTCCCTTTGTGATTATTAGGTAACATAGACCTGAAGGCACATGAATAGAGCAGCATCTATTCCTCCCTGTTGGGGGCAGAGGTGATGGGAGGGGAGTTGAGTGAGAACAGAGAGCCCCTCTTTGGAGCAGAGCTCTCATGACAACACTTCTGTGGTCCAAAGGCTCACCTGGGTTGGGATTAGTGCGAATCCTTTGAAACGTTTGCTTGGTGCTGACTGTAGCCTTCCAGGGCCCCCACCCTGCACTTGCAGGCCAAGCACATCTGTGGGCTTGCATTGCTGTCACACACAGCATCCCCTCAGCGAGCGTTCTCTCATGCGGGGTCACTGATATGGCTTTTCCTCCCACAGTCCCTTGCCTGTGTTTATTATTAGCAGCTGTATCCCATGAGGGTGTGTCATGAGTGCTGGAGAGCTTCCCCTGCTTTAGCACTCCGGGCTTTGCCTCTCAGCACCCTGCGATGGCGTTGCTGCCGCCGCCCCGTCTGTCACGGACCTTTCGTAGGCTGGTGGAGCCTCTGGGTGGGCATCATTTTCATCCTCAAATTCAAGGCCCATCTCTGTGTACAGAGGTGGAGGAACGTCCGAGGCCTCTCCCTCTGCAGGACAGGTTTGCTTTTCAGCATGAAGACTCTCTTCATAAGCAGGAGGGTAAAAATCTGGCCTAGGGGACAAAATGCCGCCAACACATGTGTTATTTGAGTGGTTAATGCCAAAGAGGCATATGTCTGCCTCTCTCAAATCACAATGTGCAAAGTTAAACTGTTAAGAAACACTGATTTTGAAACAGATGTACTTCTTCCCTGGCATCACCAGTTTTTTAAAAATGTGCTACTCTTCCAGCAACACCCTCTTGATCAACCATGGGATGTGTGCCTCTATAGTCATATTTTTCCCAGTGGGTTAGTTCAAGCTATTGCCTGTCTCTTACTCATTGGAGCCAGGGACTTTCAGTGTGAGATCCTTATCAGGGGTAGGGGTCTTGGGGGTCTTAACTGGGCAATGTCTCTCTACCCAGTTATTTAGTCCATTCACATCCTTATCCCCATTCACACCCATCATCTTCTCCTCGTTTGCACTGTCTGGGATCTTCACAGCCAACAAAATAATGAATGAAAACCAGCTGCGTGCAGATTCCTGAACTGTATCAGATGCTCCTCTCTTTCGTATCACTCTTTCAAGTCTCAGCGGCTAGTTTCCAAAAAAACATACTCGTTTCTCAAACTATTTCAACTGACGACTTTATGTAGATTTCACGTGCAGCCTTTTCCACGCCAATAGGCCAATGGCTAAAGGAGCCATTCACGCCAGAGCTGATGTACTCAATGGTAATCTTGCCCAGTGTTGCTAATTGCTAAATCCTTCTGGCTTCTCCATCATGAATGGGATTGGGGGTGGGTGGAGGTGAGGAAGAGAGAGGGTGAGCTTAGTTGAGCTGTGTATTTATAGAGCGAATCCTTCCAGTGCCTACAGGGAGTGTTTATGGTGTGTAACCACAACAGAACAGGGAGTGTCATTTGCAGCCATAGATCCATTCCAAATGTTACCAGGCGCAACGCCAAATAGCTGAAGGAGCTGTCTACTGTATGGCATAAATCTCAGCCTTCACTCAGAATAGCCAAGGCTGTGTTACAGGGCACACGTGTAAAGATATGAAGACAGAAAGGTAAGCTGTTCCCTGGACTGATTTGAGAGGCTCCAGGATGACTGCTATCTGCCCAAAATACCTCTCCCACCTCTCCCAATCCCTACCTCCCCATGCCAACTCACATTCCCAGTGCCCTGAATTCCCCCATTGCAGAACGATTTGCTTTGATACCTCAACCTGGGTACCCATTTTGAATGCAAATGCTTCTGAGAAATATAACTTTCTATTGACTGACTTACTAGCCATTTTGAGTGGCGTGGGCGTCTAATTAGCTGCAGCAGGAAGAAACTGTAAAATGGGGGTGTTGTGATGTCCATAATTTACTTTAAAATATTTCAGAGCAGACAGTGTAATGTTGTGCATGTGTAAGTAAATTTAAGGTACATCCTAAAGGTAATCAGTTACTCTTACCAGAAATTCACACTCCAGAGGCAATCATCTAACATTTATACCAAAAAAAAAAAAAAAATCACCACTCTAGAAGCATCTTCTACAATCACATCTGTTGTCTTAATTTTTTATCAAACCAAGAAACCTTGCTAGTTAGTATAATAAACATTGGAAATGGGTTTGGTTATTGTAATTAGTATCTTATTAATTAGCATAATAATATCAAAAATCAACCACTATGGGTATAATTACTTATATTCAAGATACATGGAGTAGCCAAGATACATGGAGTATTGGAGAATCAAATACTAATTCTATATTTTAGATAGATGAAGAGGGCAAAAATTTATGGAGTCTTGCAGCCTGCACTTTAAGGATGATGCCTGAGGTTTTATCCCTAAATGGTCCTGTGTTCAGGTAAGAATTAGGAGGTTTCTGGTTGTCCAATACTGACTATAAGGTTAACTGAAATTTTTTTACTTTGGTAAAATATATACAATATAAAATTTACCACTTTAGCCATTTTAAGTGTGCACTTCAATGACATTAAGTACACTCACATTGTTGTGCAACCATCACCATTATCCATCTCTAGAACTTTTCCATCTTCCCAAATTGAAAGTCTTTAAACAATAACTCCCCATTCTCCCCTCCTCCCAGCCCCTGGTAACCAGTTCTACTTTCTGTCTATGATTTTGACTGCTCTAGGTACCTCATATAAGTGTAATCATATAGTATTTGTGTTTTTGTGTCTGGCTTATTTCACTCAGTATAATGTCTTCAAGGTTCACTCATGTTGTGGCATGCACAGAATTTCCTTCCTCTTTAAGGCTGAATAATATTCCATTGTTTGTATATACCACATTTTGTTTATCCATTCATCCACTGATAGACATATGGTTTGTTTCCACTTTTTGATTATTGTGAAGAATGCTGCTATGAACATTGGTGTTCATATTTATTCAAGACCAATATTTGTTCAAAAGACCATGCATTCAATTCTTTTGTCTATATACCCTGAAATGGAATTGCTGGATCAAATACTAATTCTATATTTAATTTTTTGGGGAATCTCCATACCATTTTCCACAATGGCTGCACCATTTTACATTTCCACCAACAATGAAAAAGGTTTCCAATTTCTCCACATCCATGCCAACACTTGTTTTGTTTTTTTTGATAATAGCCTTCCTAATGGGTGTGAGATGGTAAGGTTAACTGGAATATTATTGCCTCAAATGAACCTTTCATGCAAGGTGTAATCAGAACACCTGACAGAATGGTAAGCTGGGACTTCCCTGAGCTCATGAAGAGGTTGCAGGACTGATTTTATGCTGGCTTGCTCATTTGTTGTATGGCAAAATTTGGTCTGAGCCTTACTTTCCTTATAACCTGGTAGCCAGGTTATGGGGACTAACTCACCGCCACCTGCCTCTAAGGACAGCTCCCCTGATACAACAAAAGAACCTAAGAGTTGGGCCTCTTAAGTTGGCTTAGATGTGTTTTCACTAGGTAGGTTGTGGGGAGGGTGCTTCTCTGAGATGAATTCCCCTTACTTCATGGTTTTCCCCAAAGGTGACACCATTCTTCCTAATGACTAAGCCCAGGGTAATTCCCCAACAGTAAAGCTTCAGTTCTAGACATACAGCCCCATGGGACATGTAAGTCGCTCCACAGTGGAATTAGAAGTCATTCAGCTTTTCCAGAGATCAGCCCCCATCTCAGCCCTCCTCAGTGCTCTGGCTTCTCGGCACATACCTGTCCACTGTGGCCAGGGGCAGGGCCCCCTGAGCAAGGTGTTGTCTGAGCACATGGCCGAACACCCTATTGCTTTCACTCGCCTGGCGGTAGGTGCTCCAGAAAATTCCACTCAGAAGGATCACAAACCCCAGAGGCAGGATCAGGTTCCCAGGACAGTCGAATATTGAGCCTGAGGAAATGAAGAAGGCCCCCAGGCAGATCATCAGGAAGCCCATCAGGAGGGCAAGGGCACAGAGAACCAGACTGTTTCTGTTCTGCATCCCTGCTCCTTTGGTACCCAGTTCCCTGACCCTGCCACTCCTCTCCTTCCCTTGCTGGGAGAGAATGCTCTCATTAGCCCGCTCACAGCTTTATACACTCTGGGACCAACTGGCCTTTGGACAATTAAATGAAGCAGGCACTTAGAAGCTATTCATTAACCATTGAAAGTAACTGTAATATCCTTGGAGGATTAACCTAAAAACACAGCAATGTGTTCTGCAGGAAGGGTGGCTTCCCATGGCTGTCTTGCTCTTCTGAGCTGGATAGGATGCTCAGCTGACCCCAGTTACTTGAGGAAAGCTCTCATCCTTTGATTAAAAGGGCACTGGTCTCTTAATGCCCACAGTGGGTAATTCCCCACGAATGCTAGAGAAATTAGGATTTCTTGATGAACTATCTTCTTTGTGGTTTGGCAGGGAGTCCCTTCCTGATTTCTTCTTTCTCCATACTAAAAAGATGTTTTTTAAGGCTCTTGACATGTTTGTCTTGTCTCTCTCGTGAATCTCTCTTTATTGCCCTCACACTATGAAATTGGAAAAATTCCGAGAGCAAAGCCCATGGGGTGAACTCCCTGAATCCTTCTCTGTTGACAAGAAGATGAGCATCAGCAGAGGGGGGAGGAGAGTGCTGGAGAGGAGGATCGTAAGAGACAGAGCTTGGGGAATTTGGGGGGAATCCTGGGGACGGTTCTATAAGGTCATGACGTGGTGACTTCTGTCTGATTCTGGTTTTGTATCTTTCCCATTGTTGGGGCCCAAATGTTGAGATCCTAGGGTCACTTCTGGTTAACACATAGTTATTTGATAAACATTTTTTACATATTGCTCAACCACTGGCCACCATTCTTGGCTCACTAGAAATATTTGAACTAGATTCCACCCTTTCTGCTCTCAGAAAAGGCCACAGGCATTTGATAAAAGAGCATGCCCTACAGTGTACCATGTTACCATATCCATGCAAAACAAATAAACACTTGTGAGAAGCGCTGCCTATTCAATCCCCATTCTCCCTCACACGCACCTTATATGATCGCACTAACATACTAAGGCTCTGAGAAGTCCTGCAATCTTTTTCCTCTCATAAAGTACACATTAAACGAAATTTGTTTTGGAGATGCTGCTAAAAAAAATGCTCTCTGTCCTCTCCCCGACACCATTGCTCTGTGTCGTGTTGCCTCAAAGACTCTTTCCAGAAGCAGCCTTCTGTTATCTGTCTGGAATTTATTTCTTCCATCTCGACTGTCTTTAGTTGCAGATATCCTGTTCCAGATCTCGTTCATGTTCTGATTCTTTCCTTTTTTATTTGATGCTTTGGCAAAAGTCTGCTGCCCCAAGGGACTCTGGGTCACTTTTGTCCAGAGAGACTATCTTTGATCCTCTTCGCTACTCCTCTACCCTACTCTCCTTTACCATTATTTCCATTTCCTTTTCCCAGTGGGAAAAGCAGTTCTTTGTGCAGTGCCCTAGCAATTCCATGTACACTTTTTAGCCTCAAACCCACCATCTAGTCAGCTCTACCTTCGTGTTATGGGCTAGGGGAGAGAGAGACACTGGATCAAAAATGATATAAGGCACTTCCCTATTCCACCTCCTAACCTCTACCTTTGTTAACTTCAATCCTTCCCCTGAACTACTTTCATCGTCTAGTCTTGATATTATCATTACAATCTTAAAACAACCCTTTCTCCCTCCTTCCCCAGTTGGTCTTCAAGTTAGCAGATTTCTAAGACAACCACTGATGATCCTTGCCTCCTGCTATGCATGTCCTCTTGAGTGTGGGCTGGACGTAATCAATGTGGGCTGGACATAGTGACTTGATTCTAACCAATGGAAAAGGTACCGGGATATCACTTCCATGATTAGGTTACAAAAGATTGTGCCTTCTATCTTGCTAGCAGCCTCTCTCTATTGGCCTCATGGCTTACACCCGTTAAAGAAGGAAGCTGCCATATTGGAGAGGCCCACATGATAAGCTACCGAGGGCAGCTTCTGGCCAATGTTCAGTGAAGAACTGAGGCCCTTAGTCCATCAGCCAGGGAGGAACTGCACCCTGCCAATGATCATGTGAACTTGGAATCGAATCCTTGCCCAGTTGAACCTCGAGATGACTATACCTCAAGGAAGACCTTGATTGAGAGACCTTAAAGCCAAGGACCCAACAATGTCATGCCCAGATTCCTGACCTACAGAAACTGTGAGATGAAAAGTTTTGTGGCAATTTGTTAGGAAGCAGTAGATAACTAAAACAGTCCTTTAGGACTTAGAAACCAGGGGAGACAATCGGTGTTAAGTGTTTACACGTTACTTGGTGCATAGAAAGTGCACTATCAAAATTAACTATAATCATCTTCACCATTATTGTTATTGTCATTACTGCTGGGAAAGACCCAGAATTCCCAACTGAAAGGTCTGCACCAGGAGTTGGTCCCAAGAACAAGTAAATGGTAGAGCCCAGAGCTACTATTAAGTATTAGAGTAAGGAAGGGGAGCACTCTCGATGAGAACTGCCCACCCATAAGGTTGGGCTTTTTTGTTTTAAACCAAAACTGGAAAATGAATCTGACTGGGCATTATGACAGATTAGGCCTATTTCCTGTGATTGCGTGAATTTATATGAGCAAATAAGTGTCTCTAGACTTCCCCTCCTCCAGTTCCAAGAAAGGATAACCAGTGTCTTATAGTTTGTCAGACAGGTTCTTCCCCTCCAATACCGTTTAAGGAGACTCCTCTCATTCAGAGCAGTGTCTTTTGCTGTTGGTAGTGGTTTTTTGTTTATTTGTTTTGCTACGAAATTGCATAGGAAAGATCCAAGAGGTGACAGGGAGATGAAAGGACTTAGTTACTTTACCTAAAACTTATATAAAATAAAGAGCAAGTTCCTGGCCTCAGAGAATTTGAGGAGTTTATCTGGGGTGATGTGGGGCATCCAGGAGAAAGCATAGAAGAATCTGCATATATGAAGGGAGTAGATGGGAAAAGGACTAAAACAATAAGGAAAGATGAGGTTTTGCTGGGGACCATGTATCTTCTTCATGATAGTTGAGACACACTAGAGAAGGATTTATGTAGAAGTTTTTTTTGCATGTTTGAGTTTATTATTATTATTAAATAATTATAATTTTTTTTCTGTGACTCTGCTTCAGTTCTGAACCACATGCATCACTGCTCTGTGAGCATTATTCCTCTTTGATGCCTCAAAAATTACCAAGCATTACTAAAACCAGCCACATGTAGCTGTACGAATTTCTTATTACTGTGGTTTCCCTGTTATTGTGTTGTGGTGTGCCCTCTTCCCACAATCACTAGCATGAAACATTTTTGAATAGCGAAAATGAAAGTAGATGTGTGCTTGCTTCAGTGATGGTGAGATAGCACAAACATTGAGAGAGGGCACCCTGGTCTTCATCAGTCCCAAAGGGGCAGAGACCCAAGCAGAAGAGCAGTTGTAATGACAGAATGAAAAGCAGGCCAAATCTTCAGGGCTGGAGAAAAATCAAAAGAATCCAATAAACAGCCAATCAAACACCAAAAAACGACCTTAAAGAGTCAGCTTCAGGAGACCTTTGGGCCTTTGGCTGGGCTTTCTTAGGCTCTGCTCTGTCTTCTGGGTCTGCCTTCGCATGCAGGCCAACTTTCCTGTTCATTCACCTTGCCCATCCCTTACCCAGCAGTGAGTCTGAGAGTTAGAGCCAATAATATTGACTCCATTTAAAGGTAGAGAAACTACAAGAGAGAGATGATTCATCTAAGTTCACGTAGACAGCATGGGGCTGATGGGAAAATGGATACTCCAGGATGAGTCCGGGCAGGGTCCCATCTTCTATAAAGAAACATTCTGGGACCAGCGGAAGCCAAGCCAAAGTCCTCTACCCTGATTCCCATGCCCTCCACAAGAGATCCACCTAGGAAATGAGGTCTTGCTTTTAAACCAGTTTATTTATTTATTATTATCATTCTTAAAAATTCACCATTCAGCAAAAGTGCCTGACTTGGCAGTAGGTAGTAACATGTTATTTGGTTGGCAGCCAAACTATCTTAAAACATAATCACTCTTTCAACACTCTGTTCCTTTGAGCACGACCCACCCAAGAGCGCTGTTCTAAACATTGAGTGCAGCCGAGTTCCAAGCACTGTTCTGCCTGCTACGTCAAAGGCCCCTGAAACTCACCCTTCTTTCAAACTCGCCTGTGTAATGCATAAATGCCTTGGAACTTCTAACAGCCCTCGGCACTCCAGTGTTTTTTTACCAGGCACAGGGGCCAAGCCCCTTCTCTTGAAAACAGGAAAAGCATATTGCTCAGGATGAGCAGTAGATGGGGACTTTGGAAGGAAGCTAATGGTGTGTAGACACTGTTGCATGGGAGGGGCACGGGGCCAGGAACTGAGGCAAAGTGGCTGGATTTCAGAAGGTCACTTTGGTTTAGGAAGTGAGACACTGTGGGAGGTGAGGAAGGTGAGCATATGCGTAACGAGCCATGTCACCGGGGCTGATTTCATGGTGGTGATTAGTGAGCGATTTTGGATTAGCCTTTCACACATACGGGTTCACTGAGCACTGGCCACTTCCTCCTCCTCTCTTTCTTGTTTTCTTTGCTTTTGAACCTTTCCCCCCACTTCTCTTTTTCCCCTCACTCACTCAGGGAGATTTAGATGAAGGCATTCTTAGGTTGGCAGAGGACAAATAGCTTCTCAGAAAATGGGTGGCATTGTGAGGTAAGGTGATATTAGACCGGCACACAAGACTCACACTAGCCTAGTGAATGAACCTAGTGAGCCTCTAGGACAGAGGACTCGGAGCAAGGCCAGAACTGGGTGAGGCCCGTGAGGCACTCGCCTAGAGTGCAAAACTTATGGGGGCGCCAAAAAACTTAGTAATCAAGATAAATCATGTTTTTGAACAAGGTTTTAAAAAATAAAATTGGCTTGTGGGCTGGCTGCCTGTTTCTGTAAATAAAATTTTGGTGGGGAAATTGGGTCATGTCTGTGGACCAAACAAGAAGACAAATTCTGTTCTAGAGAGAGCTCAGCTTCCAACTTA